TGCTGCAAAACATCGACAAAACGCTCTGAGGAAACAAAAGAAAAAGATTATTTTCACCGAGTGGAGAGGTAGCTTTTTGGTCATTAAATCCATAATGTGAATAAGGCACTCAAAAGTTAAATTTCATAAAGGAGTTTTGGCGAGGGATGGGAAGAAGGAGAGAGAGAGGGAAGGAGAGAGAGAGGGAAGGAGAGAGAGAAGGTATCAAAAATAATACTAATTACATTGGTGTTATTCCTTATTAATGTAAGCTGAGATGATTAATAGATGGACCCTTTTTAAGATCCTAATGACTTTTTCAAAGAGAAAGTATAAAACTTACCCAAAGATCAAGATTATCGTTATTACTGTGATGTTTTCTTTTCTTTTTTTCCAACACATGGGTGAATTAAGTGACTGTAAGTTTGCAAACACAATGAATAAACTTGTGAAGAGCAAGGTGATGCCTTCAAGAGCTCCTCAAATTCCAGGCTTGGGGCCTGCTTCCTTATGGAGCACTTGTGATCTGTTTTCTCCTGCCAGAAATCCTGTTTTCCATCTTGTTTTGCTTGGCATCTTAGGAGAATCATGGTGTGAATTATAGACATCATTTTATAATATGATAATATTCAGCAGTTCTTTTCTTAAAGACTCAGTAGCTACATATTTCTTCCACAAAGCATACCACCTCCTATGTCATAATACCCATAATTATGACAGTGGACTATTCATGACCTTTGTCTCAACTGCTTGGTTTGGCTAGATCTTTGCATTTTGAACCAGAATTGTAGTATTAAGTATCTTATAGAAATGTCACATAAATTAATGTGAACTACATTTAATTTTTACAAGTGTTTACTTTTATCCTCAAATGAAACATCAGTAGAATTCTGGCAGATATAAAATTGCAAGAAGTGAACAGTCTTCATTCAATTACTCTGAAACAAAAGTGCTCCCAAAGTATAGCGATATGAAAATTTTTTGTTGAAAAAAATCTGAAACTTCTCTACAACATGTAAGGTAGGATTATTCCAGTTAAACTACCATCTTGATTCTAATTCCCCATTACTAAGGGGAGATCTCTACTCTCCTTGCCAAATTCTCTCCAATGATACTATGTGATCTATTCTCACAGTCAATGTTGCCCCTTGCTTGTCTCCCATGGGCCCTCCATTTCTGGCTCTGGCTGCTCTCTGGTCACTCACTGACCTTCTAATAACTGACTTCTGTTGCTTCTGTGCACACTGTGTGACCTCACACCTCTGGGAGCTTTCAGCCCAGTGGATTGTCCCTTTACCTCCTTCCTGTCTATCCCCAAAGTGTTTCTTCTGATCAGGGGCAATTCTCTTTCCTTTTAAGTTTCCGCTTCCTTCTCTACATTGCTCGTGGGCTATCTTCTGCTGGCCTCCCTTGTATAGGAACATTTCTCAGGCTGCTTCTTCAAGGGTCTTTTATTATCTATGCAGTGTAGGAGTTAAGAGCATTAGAGTCACAAAAAACTAGGTTTGAATTCTGATTCTGCTGACTACTAGCTGTATGGCTTGGAGAAATTTTTTTTTAATTTCAGATGATCTATTACATATAAATTCAAACTGTAATATTTATTCCTTATTTAACAATGGTCTTATAGAATTAGGTGATTTGTTGGAAAAAATTACTTTTTTAC